GACTTCAAAATGCAATTTTATCGTTTATTCAGATTATTGTTCAAGTTTATCCTCATCGAACAGGTACCTAGTTGTTTGGGGTGAATCACCCTTTTGCCACCAATTAAAATAAATATTATCACTTTGTCCCATTTTTAAACTATCTAAAAATCTTAATATTTTATTAAAGCTATGCACCAATCTGCCCTTGTTTGACTGTTGACTGGGCAAAATACTTAAGTACATGACCCATGTACTGTAGTAAATTTTGAGGGATTTAGTTACTGAGTACGTGACTCATGTACTCGAGTAACTGACGCCCAGAAGCCCTATTCGAGTGAGTTTTGGCCTCATTTTAGGGATATTCATTTTTCACCCTAAAGTCTCAGTCGTTTCTCATCTATATTCCAACTAATCAAATTGACTTTCATCCCACTATCCTTAAACATTTAACCTTGCCAAATCATTGTCATTAGACTTAATATTCCAAATTTTGTTCAAAAGTATAAACGCAAACGAAACCCTAATCCTAATTTCTTGTGAAAGATGAGCTCCAGTTTCAACATATATGTTGCAATTGTCTACCATAACGAGATGCAATTTGAAGGTCCCAATTATGCACACTTTGAAGGAGAAACCAAAACAATACAAATCAAACATGGCATAAATATAATAAACTTAATAGGAGAATTCATAAAAAAATATGGCTCCAAGGAAACCAATGCATTTCTCGCTTGATAGCTATGTACGAGACTAAAAACAGTTACTACATTGGTAATCCAATCAATGACAATGAAGACATGGATTGTGTCATAGTTACATATATTGAGAGGAAAGAGGAAAGTTTTATCGAGATATATGCTGAAGTTAATTCTGGTCAGTCTTCTTCTTTACCCATGCATACGAGCACTGAATGGTATTTTGGTCAAGAAGACATATTTATCGACTCATCTACACCTCCACAAATGTTAAGTCATATAACATCAGGGGAACAAGAAGAGGATGATAAGGAGGATGTGAACAATGATAATGAGGGAGAACCTGAAAGTGTTATTCTACTTGGTGATTCATCGGATATTGACGTGGAAAGTTATTTTGATGCCGACACAAACCCAGTAAACATGGGTTCCCTTTTTATCACCACTTCTTGTTGACCCAGTTAATAGTGGTAAGTTAGTAATTTTTTTATTTAACATGTCATATTTATCTTGTTAATGCTTCTGATAAAAATATCATGATTTAGGTGTAGTTTCATAGATTATGTCATTCTGAAATGAAAGCCAACATTATACCTACATTAATTGGGCACACCCCAATGAAGAGATTTTGTATGGTGATGATGAGTTGCATGGTGCCTGACAATTAGGGGATCCATTATATGTGCAACACGAGTTCGATTTCAAGTCTGAAATGCAACATGTAAAATTATTTTGTATGAAGATCAATTGTACAACCATAGTTGCAAAAAGTGATTAACACAAATTTATGATGAAATGTTGAAACCATGCTGATGGTTGTCCCTAGTATGTGAGGGAAATCATACCCAAGAATGGAAATAAATGGATGATCCATAAATGGGGTGAAGATCACACCTACTTGAATCAGACTCTTTCATAGGATTATAGACAAATGAACTTAGAGTTTATATGTTCAGCCATTATAGGCATGTCTTGTATGGTTTGCAATTACATTAACATGTTTATGTTATTTAATTTAGTGAAGAAGGTTGATGTAAGTATTCATTCTTCTTTGTATTTGAAAGGTATATTAAAGGAAGATCCTTCTATTCGACTAATTTTGATCCCAGAGAGGATACAACATATGTATGGCTACAAAATATCCTAGAGGAAGGCTTGGAAGACCAAAATGAAGGGTATTGTGAATATTTTTGATGATTGGGACAAAGTCTATGCCTTCTTGCCCAATTAGTTAACATACATGCTCCAGTGTTATGTGGATTCCACCTTTAAGCTTGATACGAAGGAATAATTTGTCCATCATCGACTTGTCAACAATAAGGTCATGTTTCATAGGATTTTTTTAGACATTTCACCAGTGTGTTGAGGCCTTCAAATTTTGTAAGCCAATAATTCAAGTTGATGGCACTCATCTGTATAGGGAATACAAAAACATTTTTTTGACTGCAACATCATAGGATGGAGAAGGATATGTGCTGCCAATTGCCTTTATTGTTGTACCTCTAGCTGAGAATTTGGAAGATTGGTCATGGTTTCTTGCCAATCTATGTATTCATGTGACACAGAGACAGAGTATATGTCTAATATCTGATTGGCATTGGAGCATCATATCGGTGGTCTTGAATGTCCATCTTGGTTTGAAGCCTCCACATGCCTATCATGTGTTTTGCATGCGTTACATCAGAAGCAATTTTAATACTAAGTTCAAGAATGTAAAGTTAAAGAAAGATTTGATGAAACTAAGTATAAAATTTATTTTGTATAAACAATTTCCTATTTTTGATTCAAAGATATTAATGCATTGAGTTTGTTTGTGTTGCAGGGTATACAAGTTCAAAGATTCATTTTGACGTGAAATTTTAGGAATTTCAGGACATTAGACCAAAGGTTACTACATGGATTGATCGGATTCTCAAGGAGCAATGGTGCAGAGCTTATGATGAGGAGGGTCGGAGGTTTGGTCACATTACAATTATCCTATCAGAGTGTATGAACAAGGTTATCAAAGGTGCATGTAATCTTCTGATAACAACATTGATGAAGTGAACGTATAGTAAATTGGTTGAATATTGTGTCAGAAGACATGGTGAGATATAAGGACATATCAAAGAAGGCAAAGAATTTCAAAGAATATTGACCAAGCCTTGCAAAAGAATGAACAATTGGCAGCAACATATTGTGTACATATTTTTGACAGGGATAATGAATTATTTAGGATTGAGGAGGGATATGACCAATCTACACATATAGTACGTCAATCAATAAAGGTGAGTTGAAGGATCACAAATGTCAAGGTGACAAGTTCACAACATATAAGCATCCTTCCAGCCATGTCATAACATTGTGTAAGGCTACAACCATGAACATTTATCAGTACATGGATACTGTATTTTCCACGAGTTACATTGCTTTGGCATATGTTGCACAATGGTATCAAATCGACAATGATTGTTGATTCCATCAGGCGATGGACCAACCATAATCCCTGATCCAAACTTGGTACATTGGAAAGGAAGACCAAAATCATCGAGAATACTAAATGGGATGGATTTGGTTAAATCTTCAAGTAGACAGAGCAGATGTAAGCATTGCAAGCAAGTTGGTCATAACATATGTACATGTCCAATGAGAATTAACAAGGTGATTGTATTTTTTGTGTTGTAAGAAAGAGTTATGATTGTATTAGGGAGATACACTGTGTTTTGTATTGTTCATGTAACATTATTTTGTTAAGTTAAATGATTATGTCCATTACCATGTGTCGTTGCTATTATATATTCATTTATGTTACACAAATTGTCATCCCTAGTCCAAATATAGTAGTAAATATGGAATGAATGAAGTTTGCACCATTCTTGAAGCTAAATGACACTTTGGTATATTAAAACCAACCTAAAACTTGGGTTTGGTATATTTAATGAAATTAGTAATGCAAGTAGGTCTTATGAAGCAACAAATCCCCTCTCCAAGTCCAAAAGTACGAGTATATGACTATGGAAATTCATTTGGATAAAAAAATCTCGTGAAAAAAAATTTAAGGGGTCAACTACATTGATGTACTCGAGTACGCCATACTGATGTACTAGACTTAAGTACATCAAATGAATCAAAAAATCTCGTGAAAAAAAATTGAAGGGGTTAGCTGCACTGATGTACTTAAGTACACCAAACTAATGTTCTCGACTTGAGTACATCAAATGTACTCATATTTTTGGACTTGGGGAAGATCTTTGGGGTTTCATAACACTTACGGATAGTCCTAACCAATTAACGGTGCTAGACGAAGGAATTGAATTGGTTCCAACATACCAAAGTGTCATTTATGTTGAAGGATGCCACAAACATGATTTAATTGACATATTCTCCTATATTTGGACTTGGTGAGGTTTTTCTGCATCTAAACTGTAATGGTAGCATCCAGATCCATTTTAAGCAGCCAATTAACAATATTATGCTAAAATTTTAAAAAAAAATACACTGATGAATATTAATAAATATCCATATCTTTAATAAAAGTTCATTACATAGAGGAAAAATACAAAATAAAGGAAAAATACATCAAGATCCTAAAATGGCCATCTTCATACGCTCAATCTCTATGGGAAACCCAAAATACTACAATATCCTCTGAACGACGAAGGCGTATGGAAATGAACCCTTCCTCACAACCTTTTGCATAATACAATATATGTAGTGCCTCTAGTTGACCCGTATATTGTAACAGATGGCCCACATTACAACAAAGTTATCCTCCAGCACCTTTCCATAATTATGTTGTTGCTGGAATAGTATATGGGTCTTGATGTAGAATAAGATGCAAGCATCAACATTAAGCAGTCCTACACCATACAGAGCATGATGCCAACGCCTGATATCCCAGCTTCCCGTCTCCTCCACAATATCATATCCATCAATGGAGGCATTGCGTTCCCCATCATAAATGGCAACAAGATGAGCATCGAAGTTGTATCTTGACAACTCCATCCATATAGAAGCTGTCATCACTATGTCTACGCCTCAAACTCGTGATGTTATCTCATCTTATGAATATCATATGTTATAGTAGAATGCCCTCACCATAACCTCAGAATAGGGGCACGATATCTCTGCAAGCACCCTCAGATGTGCCTGCTCCAATAGTGCCACTATGTCAAAAGTCTTTGTCAGGAAGAATGCCGAATCTGACAACTCTAGCTCACAGATGCCTCTGCTCATAAAGTTCGAGACAAAACGAGCATGCGCCACCATATCATTATGAAGCAAATATTTGTATGGCATGTCCATCGTCTCTTCTTGAACCATCCTGGATGAAAAAGACCCGTCATGTCTGTGATTGGACTTTCTTTTGATCGCGTGTCTCTTTGAGGGCCACTTAAACCTACAAAAACACATGAAAATTGATCAACATAAAACACAAACATAATAAAAATAAAAAACTCAAAAATTAGTTCTAAAAATCGACCAATTTGTTTTTCTAAACCTATACAACCATAAACCCTAAACCATATACAACCATAAAAACCTAAACTAGACAGCCATAAATTCGAAAAATCAAAGAATAAAATCAAGCCATTCGAAGGAAATGGAACTCATTTTGGTCTAGGTTTCATAAATTTTTTTCCACCCAAATACATACCTGAATCAAAAGTCCTATCGGATGAATAAGAAGAGAATGATGTTGGGGAAAGAACCCACCACATGATTTGAGGAAGTTTTCCAGTAAAACTTAAGAATTTGGTTCTCTTTGGTGGTTGGTGTACTCAAGTAGGCCGTATTGGGTTTTACCCCTTTTAGTCGAAATGAAGTGTTTTTTTAAGAAAATCCACCTCGCGTGAAGTACTCGAGTAACTTAGGGTCCCAAAAGTTACTAGAGTACATGATGCATAATGTAAAGTGTAAACATTTTCATAAACTTATATTCAGGTTTCAACACGAAAATCCGTGGGATTGAAACAAAACTTTAGTGCACCAGAAATACCAAGTGGGTACTCCCTTTTTCCAAGTGTGGAATTTTTTTTGGAACATAAATGGAAATATAAATGACAAAAAAGAGTAGAGTGAAAAAAAATTCTCCACATTTAAAAAAAACAGAATATCCACTTGGGTATTTCCATGCACTAAAATTTTGTTGGTGGGATTTAGCAAAATCACAACTTAATTTCAATTATTGCCGACTAGGAAGCCACAAATGGTAAAATTCATTATATATCATTGAGGCACTTAATTGTTTTCTTTCTTTCGTCATCTTTTAATTCGTATTTAAATTTTATAATAATTCCCTGTTCATCAATTTTATTATTTGTTCATACAACAAATCTTATTAACTTCATGTAACTCTCATATTTTTTTAATTTGATTTTTACTTTTTAATTTTTTTTTATAGAAATATTAAAAACTTTCTGTAACAACTCCCCCCCCCTCTCTCTCAAATAAAAAAGGAAAGAAAATAAGAATTTTTTTTAAGTAATGATACTAACCCACTTTATCTTCATATTTAAAGCAAGACCGTTTCAAAATTTTGAAGTTGGAATTCTCTACATTAACCGCCAATTCCCTCTCCCTCCTGCAATGTCACACTCGGCAGAAGAACAAATATCCTTCCTTCGCTCCCTAATCCAGGCCAAAAGGTCCTCTCTCTCTCTCTCTCTCTCCCTTCATAGCAACGCTCCGATTTATCTAACATCTCAATTTCATTTCTTGCAGTTTAGGCGACGAAACGCTCCGATTTCTCGAATCGCTTTTGGTTTCCAAGGACGTGAAATCGTTTATCGAAGTTCGATCCAGCTTGACGCAACTCCTCAGATCTGAATCTCTCCGCGTTATTCACTCGATCGCATCGAAAACCGTCCACGAGAAGCTTCTCGTTCTCGAATTCTTCGTCCGCGCTTTCGCTCTCGTCGGAGATCTAGAGGTACTTCTATTGCTTCTGAGTTTCTCAACGTTCTACTCGGAAAACGTTGTTTGATTTCATTTCTTGTGGATTTTCATTTGCTCAAATTTCTCACAAAAATTTCAAAATCTTAAAGAACAATATATACTTAGCTACGATGTGCTGATCCGATTTCGCTATAAAACGCTGTCGTGCTAATTCTTTTTGCCTTTTTTTTCTTTTGCGTTTTCGAATTCCGTTTCTAAAGAGTTGTTTGGCCTTGAGATACGAGGCTTTGCTTATGAGGGAACTCAAATCCGCTAGTTGTAAATGGCTACAAGTTTCACCAGTGGAATGGTTGAACTTTGTGGAGGACGCAGTGCACAACGGTTCTCACGCTGTTGCTAAAAAGGTACGTGTTATACAGGTTTGCTATTTGTGGAATGTATTATTTTTGCAATTTGCGACCTAGCTAATGCTTTTTTGGGAACGGATTTGGTAGCCTTTTGAATCCATGGTATAAAATTGTATTGATGAAGCTATTCAATCATATTTGGCAGTTTAGAGTATAAATGGTTGGGAGATGCTTTGGCTGTAGTTTTTGTCACAACTTTTTTTTTGCTAAAGTCCTTAAGTTTGAAATCTAAGTTAGTTTAGTTAGTCTCTGTGTGCTTAATTATTGTTTGGCGATTAGGCATGTGAAAATGCATTATCTTGCTTTGGAAATGATGATGTTCTAAAGCCTGGAAGAGACGTAGTTTCTGAAAATTTGAAGGCTATTACCAGAGAGATTACAAGGATCAGGAACTGTGCAATGACATCAGTTGCTCCAGGATCTGGTATCTCCTCATCCATTGCATTGAAGATTCATATCAGTGTTAGAAAAAATGATTATATAATCGAGTTATGGTACCAATATCATACATTGTATACATATATGCACACACTGAAATACAAATTGATTGCAATACAAATTGACTGTATAAAATGGCTGCCACAGTCATGTCCTTATAATAATAAAATAAACTCACAATAGTCCCACACACATTTACATATGCAAACATTTATGGCCATCAAGACATATTACCATGCAGAATCAATTGTCACAATTTATTTACCATGATTTGAGACCCAAAATCAAAAAATAAAATGGAATATAGAATTATGCATGCGTTCTCTAAACACAGATAAAAATAAATCCAATATTGTCTTAATTTGTATCAGAGAAATCATTTCGACAATATTTAGAGCCCGTTTGTTTGGGCTTCTAAAAAAAGTAACTTTTATCTCTTCCTTATTTTAGAAGTGCTTTTTATAAAAGTTAAAGCTATTTATATTTTTATAAAAATATTTAGTTTTAGAAAAAAAATATTTGGCTTTTGACTTTTGCTTTTCTTAGAAGTAACATGCCTCTTGAACACAAGTTCAGGAAAACTCTTAGTAACTGGGTCTACAAGATCCACCTCTTTTCCTATCCTAGTTGAGTAAAACTCATAGCTCGAGGTTGATTTTCTTGAGTCAATATCCACTTGAAATAACTGAATTTGTGAAAACTCAGCTTTTCAAGACTCCCACTAGAATATTCCAGCATATAATCTCTCGTTCTCCAAAGATACTTGAGTATATGCTTAACAATAATCTTAGTGTTCCTCTATATCCAGAATGGTACCGTCTCACTACTCCCACTGCGTGGAAAATGTCTGGTTTAATGCCCGACATGGTGTGCATGAGACTACCTATTGCCATAACATAAGGTATCCTACTCACGCATTCTTCCTTCTCAGGAGTCTTTAGAAGTTACTCCTTAGGAAGATGAATTCTACATCTGAGAGACATAATTTCCCTCTTAGAATTACCATGTAAAATTTTTGGCAAAAGTTTTGTCAATGTAAGTAGCCTAAGGTGATGCCAACAACTTATTCTTTCGGTCTCATAAGATTTTTATACCAAGAATATAATTGGCTTCCCCGATACTTTCACACCAAAACATTAACTTAGCCAATTCTTTATGGTTGATATTACCTCTGCATTGTTTTCAATAAGGAGCATATTATCTACATAAAGTACCAGAAAAGCTATTGCCTTCCGCTGCATCCTTTACATACAAATACACATCATTTATCAAGGTTCTCTCAAAATCAAAATTTTGATAACCTGATCAAAACTGATGTTCCAAGACCTGGATGCTTGCTTAAGTCCATCAAATAGACTTTCACAACTTGCATACAGTGTGTTCCTGCCCATTTGCGATAAACCCTTTTGGTTGTTGTATGTAGATATCCTAACATCTAACTCCCAAAATAAAATCTCATAATTGAGATTTATAGAAGCAACTAAGAGAATTTGGATAGACTCAAGCATGGCGTCTGGCAAAATTTGCCTCTAAGCTAGCTTTGAAGGTTTTCACCTTCCTGTCCATCCTCTCTTTGCTTTTTAGGTCCACATGCACCTATTGAGTTTTACCACTCTTGATGCCTTCACTAGGTATCGAACGGAGTTGAAATACAAGTATTTCATCTCATGGTTCATAGCTTAAGCACACTTGATCAATAACATTTTCTAGTGCATTATCGTATCTAGTGGGATCAATGTCACTCAACAAGAGACAACTTGAGAGTTAACAAGGTTTTATCCCACTAAGGATGTACTTCATTAGACCTTGTGTTTCTACAGGTAAATTCAAGATTTGGTCAAATTGTGAATTTTCAATTCCTTGAGGTTCCATATATTATGTGTTTAACAACTCCTTGATATTATTCTTCCACATGTAGTACTAATATTTTTACTAGTTTCATTTATATATTATCATGTTGAATTTCCAATTATGGTTATCGTGTTTGTTCACCGAGAGGTATATCTTTTCCCTCTTTGAACAATCAAAGGAACAGAGGATGAAGCTTCTAAGGATTCTGGAAATTCTTGATCTGAGATAAGTCTTAGCAAGAATAACCTTACTTAAAAGCTTATAATTTTTCATCTAGTCCTCCTATAAGAAAATAACGTGAATGCTCACTTAGATCATCTTGTCCTTTGGACTAAATAAGATCTCATCCCTTGTTCTTTTAGAGTAGCCAAAAGATATGTACAAGATTTCATCTTATTTGATCGCTGTTGTAGGACGTGTGTCAGAGCACCCTAAATCCTAATATGGTTTGAACTTGGCTTGCACCTTTTCTATAATTCTTTAGGTATCTCTATAACAGACATAGATGGAATCAAGTTAAGAATGTACATTGTCTTATCCTAGGCATCTCCCAAAACGCTATAGGCAAGGATGAATGACTGAACATGGACTTCACCAAGTCTAAAATTGTTTGATTCCTGCATACTGCAACTTTGTTTAACTAATGTGTTCCTAGAGTTGACAGTTATGAAAATTATCCCTTCTTCAATCAGGTAAGACCTGAACTTACCAGATAGGTATCCAACACTTTAGTAGTCAGACCAAAGTGTTTGGATTTGACCACCTAGATGCTTTTCTGCCTCAGACTTAAACCTCTTAGAATTGTCCAAAAGTTTTAGACTTATAACACACTACATTAATCTGTCCAAATGTAGAATAACCATTCATATAATGAAATACTCGTAACCGCTTCCGGCTAGAACGCTAATTGGTCCACATACATCAGTATGTACCAATTCTAGTTGAATAGTTGCGCAAAACTCTTTGACCTTATAAGATTGCTTAGCCATTTTGCCTTCCAAATAGGACTTACATGTAGCTTTTAGCTAAAAGATTATGGAACTTTCAGTCACTCTTTTAATTAAATTATGTTTCCTATTTGAGGTAATCTAACTCAATCATAAAAGCCAAAGATATGTTTCATTTGAAACTTTTATTTCTTTGGTGAATATTCTTGTTTATCATCCTTTCCATTCAACATAACAAATTTAATGAGGTATAGGACATAAATAATAAAGACTATTTAAACAAGGGAAAAATGTTTGTCATTTTAAATGACATAACACTCTGTCCTTTTAAGAGAGAGAGAGACACATAAAATTTTTTTATTTAAATTTTAAATTAAAAAAAACCACCCACTTTCTCTCTCCCATGATTTCCATTTTTCTGTGTCTATCTCTCTCCTAAAATGACATAACTTAGGTCATTTAAAATGACAAAAACCAAACCCTTTAAACAATGTACCAGAACAAATAAGATGAAGATGCATGTTGAAATGTAACTGAGGAATCAATTGCATTGTCAAACCATATTTTAACCAAACAACTAACAATATTGAACTCCTCTTGAAATCCGGAACAAATAATAGTCACCTAAAATCAAAGTCTTTTAACTGACTTGTCCTACTGCTAATGTAGACACAAGTTTTTATTTTCAAGCTTAAAATTTCTTTGTCCACCGCTGACAGGCATGCCATGTTTGAACTATTACGAAAGTAGAAAACATAATCAGTGGTTCCGGAATCATTGATTCATCCACTAATCAAGCCTTAACTCTAGTCTTTTCATCACCTCGGCAATTTTTCTTTCAGTGTCCCTTCAGTCCGCACTTGAAATACTTGCCTTTTGGCTACTTCAGAGCAACTAGTTTGATAACTGAAAACCAAGCCATTTTGTTCTTGTTAACACCCTTGGATTTTCCCTTGTATTTAACAAAACTTTTAGAAAAACCTGTGCTGATTGTATTCTGTCTAGCAGAGTTGCTAAACGCAATAAACATGTCATTAAGAGTCTGAAGCATCTTTACTCCACTATTAACCATGTACACTTGCTTATGCAAGTGTTTGGAAAGACTAACAAGAACATAGCAACGAACTATATTTGCCCTTTCCAAATCTGAGTATCGCGTCTTAGTTTCCTTAGACGCATCCTCTACAGGTTGCTGTGGACTTGGTATTATCAGGAAAAATTTTAGCTTTCATATTTTAGAATAATATCAAAGTTTGCTTTTCATTTATTCATAGTTGGTACCATTTAGAGGTTTTTGGCTCAAATTCATTTCTAAGATATTTTCTGAAAAACATATAAGACACACAATTACAAACAAATAATGCAATAAACAAATGAAGTGCAAGTAAATTCTCATAACTACTCTTGTTTATTGTTAACAATCCTTCAGTTTTTTTTACAAGGCGTACGTTAGGCAAGTCACTTGTAAAAACTGAAGTTGTTATTTGGGCCTTCGGTGCCATTATCAGAGCCTCGTTGGGAGTGTTAATAACTTTACCAAAGTTGAATGTAGTTAACCATTGTTTAATTTCAAAATAATCTTTAGTATCCAAGCATTGCCGACGTAGGGCCATACAATACTTTACTAAAATTTTGAAATTATTAAGGTCCAATCAAATAAGATCCAGTCATGCTTATCAGTTGAGGCTTCACATGACCATTTTATTAATGGACCCACAAATGGAGCCCGCATGTTTTAAATTAAATAGTTAATTTAAAACTTTCACCCATTTAATATTTTTATTTGAGAATTTTTATAAGCTCTGTTGAATTCATTGTTTAATTTCAAAATTGTCTTTAACAACTTAATATTGCCGACGTCAGGCCGTACAATACTTTATTAAAATTTAAAATTATTAAGACCCAATAAAATCTAATAATGCTTATCTGCCAGGGCATCACATAATTATTTTATTGATAGGCCCACAATACACCTGGAGGTTAAATTAATTTCTTAATTTAAATCTCCCTCCATTTAACATAAGCAATTTTTCCAATTTCCAAGAATTGTTTAATTTAGAGTAACCTTTGTTTAATTTTAAAATTTTCCTTAGCATCTAAGCATTGTCGACGATGGGTCGCACAATACTTTACTAAATTTGTGAAATCATTAAGGTCCTAAAATTCAGCATGATAAAAAATAAAAAATAAAATTACAAAAAGAAATTTTTCAACTCATTTGCTCCTTCCTTTTGGTCAATAGGTTCTGTTTCAAGCCCTTTTATGGTAACCATGGGCCCAAAAGTCCAAAATATCAAACTTTGGCAAGAAACCCTAACCTCCTTCTTGGAAACCTTAGTCGTCACGTCCACTATGCCGTCACCCGAACTCATCTCAGCACGAAACTCTAGGGGAAAGACCTCCTTGAAGAGACGAAGCAGCCGCCATCAGAACCAGCCCGACCGGAGCTGCCACGCGCCTAAATGCACCCAATCTCTGCCGCCCACGCGCAACCACTTTCTGAGGAGAGTTAGAGCGTGTTCGGCCTCCTTTCGGCCGGAACTGGTTGTCTTCTTGCTCGGTTTTGTCCTCTTTCATGCCCTGTGGTTGGTTTCTCCAGTGTTGTTAAAACGTAGTGTCGAAACGTAAAAACGGACCGTGTCTATGTTTTTATGACCAAAATTGAGTCAAAATGGTAGTTGAAACGGATTTTGAGCCAAAACGGTTCGAACGTAGTGTCGAAACGTAATATGATTTTTTTTTTGCATAGTTCAAATATATATAACACGTAATAATAAATATATATATATATTTTTAGTCATTAATCAGCTTAAATTGTATGTATTATATTATTAATACATTAAAATTATTCTATATAAATTAAAACAAAGATTAAAATTGACATTCTTATAAAATAAACATGTTTGTGGGTTTTGGTTTTATATATGTTGGATATATATTTTATTTTTAATACGTTAATAAACTCTTACGTTTCGTTTACGTTTTGCGATTTTACGTTTTTTCTCACCCTTACCGTTTTTACATAGACTTTACGTTTTAACAACATTGGGTTTCTCAGATCGACCACCGAAAAGTTGCGCACATGTCCAAACAGTGACAAACTTCCTTCTTTTTGATCTTCTTTCATTACAATTTTTGTAATACATTGAAAAAATACAAAATTTGAAATAAAAATCAAGAAGGAGACCTAATTATATGAGATTAGAGCCAAAACCAAATAAAGCATTGATATTGAATGAAAAGAATTATAAGGATACACATGTAAAATTCATACCAATAAACATAGAACCCTAGGTGCCATATTTCATGAAGCAAAACTAATTACATGAAAATTGTAAATCAAAACTAGATTCACATACTGCTCTGGGAGATCCATATAACACAGGCCCAATGTCACAGGCCCAATAGCCTAAAGACACTCACGTCAGCTCTACAGGATAAAACCCCTAACCTCCCCCACCTCTTGTCTCTCGACAGGAGTGTTCCCAAGATAAGACATTGGGATCAGACACCTGCAAGAAGATCCTTCCAGGCCTCTAAATAGAAGATATCCTCTGGCAGGATCAGGGCAGCAACTGCCGCCATGCTAACAGGTGGTGTCATCGCTGTGACCGCCCCAAAGGCAGAGGACCCAACATCTCCCAAGAAGAGTTGACTCTCCTCATCTACCCGCATGAGATGGACTCCTCCACCTCCTATAAATACCCAGCCCCCCTCACCACCAAGATTATCATCTAAGGTACTGTTATTCTGACCTTTTATCTAGCCCACTCTTATCTCACACTAACCACAATCCCCCTATATTCCTTCTGGCTTAATACTTGGGACGTGGCTGGCTAGCTTTGTCTATACCTGTGTTAGTCACCATACCCATATAGTGACCTTACTCCCTCTCAGGGAACATAGTAGGCCGGTGGAACCCAACGGTACACATACAAACACGCAATCCGGCTCTGATACCAATTGTAGGAGCAATTAGTTCTGCGGAAGCGTTTTAGACCATTGCGGTTTGGGATGCAAACAGATCATCATCGTTTTATTGATTGACCTCTTGATGTATAGATCTCGTGCAGAATCTCCCCATGTTTGACTCCTCTTCACGAACTGTTCATCTTAGCGACGCAGCACGGACAAACTTTTTGAGGCTGGACAATGGCAGATTTTCCATACTATATCTCAAGGGGAAAGGGGAAGTGTGTGGGCACTCTCTCACTTTCAGGGAGATGACCTTACCTCAGCCTCTGCACCATTGAGTGAAGACCTTTTAAAAGCTGATGATTATAGGTGTAGAATATATATGGGTTTCAAGAAACCTTAACCTTAAGCTGAATGAGCTCTAGGTTTCTTGGACTCTTCTTACACACTAGGCCCTAGTGGGCTTTAGTGAAAGAGCAAAACCCAACACTTCTCTAGTACTATTCAGGGTCGTTTGGATGGCCTATTTTTAGCCCAAGATGCTGATTTTTTTTTTTTAAAAAGTGCTTCTCAATTTAAATTGTGTTTGGAAGCCATCAATGAGATACCACTCTGGAAGAGCTAGAATTCTAACCTTGTGCCAGGACCTACGGGCCAAGGGGCAGTCTCAGGTAGACAGTTTCTATGGGGCGTAGGCTTCCCAAAAAGTAACGGAGGTGTGCAAAAGTTTCATCGGGCCAGACGGAGATTGGCCCTCGAGTGCAAAGGCAGAAGGGAGCTTGATCGCAAGACCCACCCGTCGAGCAGGGACAAAAGTTGTCCTAACCAACCCATGGCTATTCCATCTCCATTGTCCATTGAGCCCGCTCTAAACAATCCCCCTTTGCCAGATTATTGCCGATGTAAGCATAAAAAACTAATTTTTCAGGAAGCACATCTCTGACTTCTAAAAAAAGTCAAAATACTACTTTTTACTTAAAAGTTGACTTCTGGCTTTTGAAAAAAGTCATTCTACAAATAGCAATGCATACATAGTCATTTTTCAATTTAATCTTGTAGTGGGCTAAAGATTGTACTTTGAATCAAGTTTCCTGGGCCTTTTGTTTTTCGATGCTCTAATGTTATTTATCGGTTTGTAGTGTGTTGATAATTAGAAGTTAAGGGAGCTTTTATTTTTTATTCCTCCTCTTCTTTATATGTTCGTGTGAAGAGTCATATAACGTGAAGTCACACACATTATTTGGCTGGCTTTATTGGGATGTTGTGCTTGTCTTCCTATCCCCCTCAGTGGCAAGTCATACGGACATGATCTTAAAAGCAGATTTTCGTCTTGTTTTGAAAATGGATTCTTGCTTTATGAGTTGTTATTTATTCATTGCTAGTGCTGCTTTATCATATCAGTTCAGGTGCAAGCAGCAAAGTACCTAAAAAGGAAAACAACAGAGCGGCAAAAGTCGGACTTCCTCTACAAAGAAGAATGTTGTCTAGCAACCATTTCGTTTAGAAATGGGATTAAGAAACAGAATATGCGAAAGTTATATGAACATCAAAGCCACCTGCAGATCAATAATGATCAATTATATGGACGGCATCCAAATTTGAGGTTAAAATGATTTCTGATTGTGTCTTATTTTTGGTTAGCTAATTCTTTGTTTAAACCAATACCACTCCCCATTAAATTCTGATAGGAGAGAATAGGTGTGATCAGGGCAATTCTGTAACACAACCTTATCTTTGCATATTTGTAAAAAAATTGTTTCCCAAATTTGAACTGTGACCTTTTGATCACAAAAGAGTAGCTTTATCACTGTTAATTCATTGTTTAAAAACGTGAAATTTTAAATTGTATTATCTCTTTCCATTTCATGTTAAGCCTGGATTTGTATTTGGTGTTTTTACTTGTTGAAAGAGCAAGTTGTTTACACCATATAATATTTGACAAGTTAACAAAGACAATACAAGCTATATGATTTTACCATTTGTGGACAGCAATTGTAAATCACTTTTTTTTGGTTCTCAGTTGAAGCCAATAGTGCTGATTGCAAGCTCCACTTCAGGGTTGATTATTTCGTATACTGTCCGCGCTCTTTCAAGTATAGGCATTCCTGTTTGGCTCGTGATATCTATGTGGGCTCGTCCATATTGCACCATATAAATAGGTTGTCATACCCCACAGGTATGATCGCTTAACAGGTATCCATGCTTGTACATTGTAACACTATTTGACGGATTGCTGTAGTAGAAATCATGTGATGTCAGTTGATTCTTTAGTAAGGTTTTTTCTTTTTTAAAATAAAAAGGCCTTGTAATGTAAGAGTCTTACGCTGTTACATCTAAGTAAAGCTACCATTTATAAATTTAAGGTCTATTAATCATGTGAAATTACAAAACAAACAAGGGGAGACTTAGTATACGGGTGTAAATCAGTCAGGAGATCTATTAGGGTTTATGGTCCGGCTTATGGCAAATCTAATCATATTATAATATTAATTTTAAATCAAAATAAAATATTATTTCAACAATTTTAAAGTATATTATCTTATTTTTTTTTTTAATTCTTGATAAGCCTTAAAGGTTCGATAGGTTTACATTTTTTTTTTGTTTTTGTTTTTTTTTTTTAATAGATACATAGACTTTAGTATACATGACTCTAATAGAGCAAATTAAGTTCAAAATATTTTATATGCAACCATGATTGGCAATTCAACTTATTATTTTGGTCCTTCTACTTTGTACATGCACTACCGAATTAGATAAAAAGTATTAGAGTTTTTCATTTAACATATTAGGAAAATTGACAGGAAGGAGTGAACATTTCAATTTAGAAAACTTGTTTGTTTTTTTAATTATGCATGGACTAAATTAAAAATGAATCTTACCTATAAAACTAAAAGTTTAATTAAATTGAACTAATCAAATACAAAATTATACTACTTCATGAATAATTAATCACGTAAAACTAAAGATAACAAAACAGGTTAATTGGTCGCCCATCACCAACTCACAAAAAATGTGGTGGAGTGGGTTGATTCGCCATTTATAAATAAGTAGGAAATACCAGCATATTTCGTTTTTTGAGATTGGTTGACACGTTTAAATAAAAAAATTATATTTTCCTAAAGAGTAATTTAATATAAAAAAAGAAGTTATATTGGGATCCATTATATAATGATTTGTGAGATTAAGTGAGAAGTGTGTGTCGGCCTGTAAATTGGTACAAATATTATTATTAATAATATTTTACTTGGAAATGTCAATTATTTGATTTTAGTTAGTTTGACCTTTAGCTGTAATAAAAGTGAACTGATCATTTTGAGACATGCATAGTTGTTGCAATATATGTGTGTGGATTGATTAATCTCGCGTTATTGGAATCTATGATATACCGATACTTTAAAAATTCTGACATATCATGATCGACACTTTTTGAAACTCTCTGATATTTTGACATCCTCGACACTTCAACACGTAATGCAAAGACTAAAAAAAGGATTCGAAATTTGCGTTAAATTGCATTTTTAGTTCTAACTATTATATTTATTCGATTTCGATTATTATTTTATTGAGTTTAATATAAATATTTGGGATATTTTATGTTTCTTTGTAAAATTAATGAGTATTATAAATTTGGCATCATTTTTTCCTTAAATTATTAAATATTAAATATAATATACATTACTAAATTAAAAATATTATTTAATATCAAAATATGTTCTAACGTGTTGAAATTTAACATTTTTTAGAATTAACGTATTGAAGTATCATATCATATCTCATGTTCCATGTCAGAAGTCGGTGCAACATAGTATGAGATGGGTGTTGGTTGATACATTGAAAAGTATAACTCAACCTGTGGGGTTGAATCATATTGTCATCTTTAGGTAAAATAAAGAATGGGTAAATTAACAGTATTACATATCACAGTAGAGTTGATTGAAAATGATTTTACATATAATAACTAATGTAAAAAAAATTATATATATAAAGATTAAATTAAAAATAGGATTACGTGACAAAAAAATTTAATTTAGCAGTCAATAAAATAAAGTTATGAGAAAATCTTATTCACAAAACTAGCTGATATCATGCCACGTCTGCTAGGCTCAGCTATCATGTTGTAGACCCGTCAGTTTGGGTAACGTGAGTTAGGCCTCTTCAGACCCGTCAGTCAGGCTGACATGAATTAGACTGGAGGAAGGCCAGCTGCTTTTTCCCTTCGTGTTTCCATTCTCTTTGCTCCATTTCTGAGTACCGTTTCCTTCTCTCTCTTTCGCGTTCCATCTTCCCTTGTTTCTCCATTACTGCCGTCAGCCCATTACTCCTGTGTCAAGCATCTCCTGGGGCAAAGTATTGGTTTTCCACAGTCCGTTTTCAAACTGAAACGTCGGAGCAAAAAAAATTTCGCACCGGAGCTAGACTGTTGACGTTCCCATCTTTGCACCTCCGTGTTTGTCACCTTCCACTGGTATGGCGTTTGGCTTTATTTTGTTTTTTTGATAGCCAAGTGTTGTTTTAAGGTACTTATTAGTTGTATTTTGAAAACTCTAATTTTATATCTGTATTTAGTAATAATTTATGTTATTTTGTTGTTTAACTGATGTGTGGTGTAGTATTATTTTATAAAAAAAAAACACATTTGATAGTCAAGTGTTGTTTTAAGATACCTATAAGTAGTAGTATTGTTTAACTGATGGCACCGGAACTACACAGTTGACGTTAACATGTTTTTAATATAAAATGTAATTAGTTAATTAGTTATTAACAATTAGCCTAATTAATAATTCAGAAAAGGACCTTTAATATATTACGGTTTTTATAAGGGGTAAATTTAAATATGCTAATCACATGTTTTAATTAATGTGTAATTAATGAATCTTTTATTATAACAACCTAAGAAAAACCTATTTAGCTAAATAAATAATCATTAATTGTTAATTAAATAATTAAATAGTAATAACTATTAGTGTTGTAATGAAATATTTGCTATCTAGTAATTTACGTTTTTCATAAGTGGTAATTATTAAAATAGCAATGTCCCTTTATATTTGCCGTACAGATGTCATCGACCTGTATAACAGGTTTACACCATTTAAAGCCTCTCGACATTGACCGAAGGTCCAAAATACACGTTATTAGTTGTGAAAACTGGGAAAACTGAGAAAGAAAACTCAACGTTTCTGAATTCCATAATTCTCATTACTTTATGAAAAGATGCATACAATGGAGATTTATACAAGGCATGAGGTCATAACAGAAAGCGTAAAATTAGCACTATCACTACTGTGCTAACAGAATGTGCACATGGGCACATAACTTCCTAACAGAAACGTGCAAAAGAAAGAGTAATGTAAAACTATCAGCAAAACAGAAATATAATAAAAGGAAATACAAATAAAAATGGAATATTAATAGCCCCCCTCAAGATGGAGTGTGGATGTTTAAAACACCCATCTTGGACACTAGAACAGCAAACTTAGAGGGAAGAAGAGGCTTGGTAAGCAAGTTCGCGAGTTGTTTAGAAGAAGGAACAGGAAATGTTTTAATGCGTCCTTTGAGAATGTGCTCGCGAACAAGGTGACAATCAATCTCAATGTGCTTGGTGCGCTCATGAAAAACCGGATTTGCGGCCAAGTGAAGAGCAGAATGGTTGTCACAGAAGAGATGGGCAGGAGCTGAGTGCAAAACCTGAAAATCCTTGAGAAGAGAAAACAGCCATAAAAGATCACAAGTGACATTAGCCATAGATCTGTACTCTGCCTCTGTTGAAGACCTGGACACAGTGTGTTGCTTCTTAGACTTCCAGGATACCAGTGAATCACCAATAAAAATGCAGAAACCAGAAATGGAGCGCTGGGTGTCTGGGCAAGAAGCCCAATCTGAGTCACAAAATGCATTTAACTGAAGAGGAGAAGCAGATGAGAAGAAAAGACCTTGACCAGCAGTATGCTTAACATAACCAAGGAGTCTGTGTGCAGCTTGAAGGTGAGGAACCCGAGGAGAAGCCATAAATTGGCTTAAACGATTAACAGCATAACAAAGATCAGGTCTTGAAATTGTAAGGTAGAGAAGACGCCCAATCAGCCGCCTATATAAGGATGGATCAGGTAAGAGATCACCATCAGTGGTGGAGAGCTTTGAACCAACATCCATGGGCGTGCTACGAGGCTTTGAACCCAGCTGACCAGAATCTTTGAGGACCTCCAAAGCATACTGCCGTTGAGATATAAAAATGCCTTTTTTGCTTCGAGCAACTTCGAGTTCGAGAAAGTACTTCAAGGGACCAAGATTCTTTAATTTGAAACTATTATGCAATGTGGCAGTAAGCTGCTGTACCTCATTTGAATTGTTAGATGCAACAATAATATCATCAACGTAAACTAAAACAACAATAAAACAAGTAGCAGAAGATCGAACAAACAAAGAGTGATCAGATTGGGATTGGAGAAACCCAAGGTGTGTCAAGGTGGAGGAGAACTTGGCATACCACTTCCTTGAAGCCTGACGAAGACCATAAAGGGATTTATGAAGACGGCAAACAGGATTAGGGGGAAGGGAAGAATGGCTAGAAGTGTAACCAGGGGGCAAGTGCATATAAACCTCCTCAAGCAACTCACCATGGAGGAAGGCATTATTGACGTCAAGTTGGACAAGAGTCCAATTGTGTATGGCAGCAAGGGCTAGAAGAACTCGGAGGGTTGTTAACTTAGCAACCGGAGAGAAAGTATCCATGTAATCCATCCCCTCTTGTTGGGTAAAACCCTTTGCCACCAATCGGGCTTTATACCTCTCAAGGGAGCCATCTGAATTATACTTGACCTTAAAAACCCAACGGTAACCAACAGCCTGCTTGGAAGGAGGAAGAGAAACAATGTACCATGTGTTATTAATCTCAAGGGCAGTAAGCTCACTGGCCATAGCAGTCTGCCACTCTGGGAGCTGAGAAACTTCAGTATAAGAAGAAGGCTCAAAGTGTGAGGAAAGAGAATTAATAAAAACTGTGTGGGAAGGGGATACTCGGTTATATGAAAGGGAATTGGAGAGGGGATGAGCTGTGGATGAAGAACAAAAATAATCATGAAGATGGACAGGAAGTTGTCGGGTTCTTTGGGGTCGAGTGGAAATGGGTGTGTGTTGTGGAATAACAGTGTTGTCAGTGGAAGAATCAGAGGAAGAAAAAGGTTTGGGTAAGTGAAGAAAATCTGGAGGAAATGGGCAAGAAGGAGACTGAATTACAAAAGGAAAAATATTTTCATAAAAAATTACATCACGAGAGATGAGAGTTTTGTGAGTTTGCAAATCAAGAAGCTTGTAACCTTTGTAGCCAGGTGGGTAGCCAAGAAACACAGCAGGAGAGGCTCGGGGGGAAAATTTGTGGCGGTTCTTTGGAAGAGTGGAACTGTAACACAGGCAACCAAAGACTCGAAGGTGATCATAGGTAGGGGACTTATGAGACAAGAGCTCAAAAGGGGTTAAGGAAGAAATAAGAGGGGAGGGGGTGCGGTTAATAAGATAAATGGCAGTGAGCACACAATCCTGCCAATATGGTAAAGGAATGTGTGACTGAAAATGCAAGGCACAGGCAACATTAAGGAGATGTTGGTGCTTACGTTCAACAATAGAGTTCTGCTGAGGCCTATCGACGCAAGAATGAAAAACTTGTATCCCTTTAGATGAAAAGAAAGAATGCAGACCAAACTCAGGTGCATTGTCACACCTAATGGACTTGATGGAAAAAGAATACTGAGTCTGAATAAGAGAATAAAAAATAGAAAAAACAGAAGCAAAATCGGACTTGGTACGAAGGAAGTAAGTCCAAGTGAACCTAGTGCAGTCATCAACCAATGTTAAAAAGTAACGGGAACCCTCAACAGAGGGGGTGTGAAAAGGACCCCAAATGTCAAGGTGCAAGAGATCAAAAGGTGAATTGGAAAGCTTGGGATTTAAAACAAAGGGAAGTCGTTTCTGCTTAGCAAGTGGACAAACAGAACAATGATGGGCAAAATCTAAATGCTCAGAAAAACCCAAAACAGATTTCATTTTATTCAAAACAGAAACAGATAAATGGCCCAATCTGGAGTGCCATAGGACAGGGTCCCTTACAGAAACAGAAAAACTCAGGGGATGGGGGACATGCACAATAGGGAATAAATTGGTACTGTCCAAAAGATAAAGATCCCCTTGACGCTCAGCAATCCCAATCATCTTGGAGGTTGCACGATCCTGAAGAAAACAGTGAGTAGTAAAAAATTAGCGATGATGGGAGAATCGCGAGTAAGGGAAGGAATGGAAAGAAGATTAAAATGAAAAGAGGGAACAAAAAGCACATTAAAAAGTTTCAAAAAATCAGTGACAAAAACGGAACCAACAGCGGAAACATGAGTAAGAGATCCATTAGGAAAACTAACAAAAGAAGACGAAGGGGAGGAGGAAACAAATAAAGAGGAAGAGATGCAAACATGGTGCGTCGCACCAGTGTCCAATACCCAGGAAGAAGAAGGGATGGAAACAGAGGTCCTACCATTAAAACTCGCGACGGAAGGAAACGACTCAGTGACAGAAGAAGCCGACGAAGGAGCCAAGGAGGGAGACGACGGTGCAGAACTCTGTTGAAGAAGAGTAAGTAACTGGTTGTACTGTGTAGGGGTGAAAGCCAAAGGAGGATCGGCGGTGGGAGGGCCATGGTTGACCGAGGAAGGGAAATGTGTCAAAGAGCTGGGTGGAGATGAGTGTGAGCTGTGATGTGGGAAGGCTGAGTGAATAAAATGGGCTCGAGGATAAGAAAGTGGGCTTGAGGGGATATTGGGCCTAGGGTTTCGGGTGGGCTTATAGCCAGGGGGATAACCGTGCAACTTAAAGCATTTTTCGCGAACATGGCCCGAAAGATGACAATAAGTGCAGTAAGGTTTAGAGCGGCCTTTAGCAGCGGCTGTAAGGGGTGGGGTGGGTAAAATAGCGGTGGTGGAATTGAGGAGAGGTGATTCTGAAATGGCAGAGGAAGGCGAGGAAAGGGAGATTTGGCATTGACGTTCCTCTTGAAGTATGAGGGAAAAAACTTTGGCAAGGGAAGGTAACGGGTCCAAAAGCAAGATCTGGGCACGAGCTGAAGAAAATGATTCTGTGAGGCCAATGAGAAACTGAAGAACATGGTCCTGTTCGCGTTGAAGGGCGATCTGGCGAAGGGCACCACAGGTGCATGTAGGTAAGGGAAGATATTCATGGAGCTCGTCCCAAAGGGCCTTGAGCTTGGTATAATAAGCACTGACATCAAGCGGTCCCTGACTGAGAAGAGAAATCTGTTGCTTCAGCTGAAAAATACGGGGACCATTGGCTTGAGAAAAGCGTGTAGCCAGATCTGTCCAAACCTCATAAGCATTGGAGAAGTAAAGAAGACTGTCAGCAATGTCCTTGGATACTGAGTTAAGAATCCATGAGATAACCATGGAATTGCAGCGAATCCAAGCGGAAAACAGCAAATCAGTTGGAGGAGGTCGAAGGAGGGAACCATCAATGAAGGATAACTTGTTCTTGGCAGTCAAAGCCAAAAGCATGGCGCGACGCCAAGAATGAAAATTGGAACCAGAGAGTGTATGGGAGACCAAAATCAACCCAGGGTGGTCACCACTCTGTAAAAAATAAAGACTAGAACTGTCATCCATGGAAGCTGATGAACCAGAGGAAGCATCAGCTTGGGGAGGACGATTGTTATTAGAGCCACGAGCCATAAAAAAAAGGCAAGGACTAAAAAGAAACATCTGATACCATATTAGTTGTGAAAACTGGGAAAATTGAGAAAGAAAACTCAACGTTTCTGAATTCCATAATTCTCATTACTTTATGAAAAGATGCATACAATGGAGATTTATACAAGGCATGAGGTCATAACAGAAAGCGTAAAATTAGCACTATCACTACTGTGCTAACAGAATGTGCACATGGGCACATAACTTCCTAACAAAAACGTGCAAAAGAAAGAGTAATGTAAAACTATCAGCAAAACAGAAATATAATAAAAGGAAATACAAATAAAAATGGAATATTAATAAAAAAACCCTGCACCCATTAACAACCTGTTGATTCATGACACACGGTCCATGTTGAATATGATAAACAGACCCGGGAGAAGAATTCAACATGTGCCCGAACAATCTTGGCAAAAACGCATAAGATTCGTCCCAATCACCATAAATCTTAGCAATTGCTTTCTGCTTTGTCTTCCATCTTTGTATAACTATATTGCTTTTCCTTTTGTTAATTATTTGATTACATAAAACCTGAGATTTCTGAAGATATTTTGGTCCCATTTACAAGATGATTTGTGGTGCAGTTCGATGAAACCAACCTCCTATTATTACTTGTTGACTTCTTGTCGTAGACGGAAAAACAATCCAGTTTTCCTTTTGAAATTCTCTCAGATCGAATCATTTCAGTCCCTTTTTTGAATTATGGAGTTCGATTAAGCCATTCACGTCACCATGCTTGACGGCTTCGGTGCTGACTGGACGCGTCATTGTTGCTAGCGGGATAAGTGCCGGCTTCCATGTTTGTTGCTAGCGGGATAAGTGCCGGCCTCCATGTTGATGGGTCTACAAGGCGTCATCTAGAATGGCGCGACTGAACTCGGCAGTCAATAGTTGATTGCTCTACAATAGTCAATCTTTTCAAATATATCATGGTCTGGAAATACATTTACAATTTTACTGTAGTATAGTCGTTTTGTCGTTGGTTGACACGTTGAAAAGTATAACTCAACCTGTAGAGTTGAACTATATTGTCATCTTTATGTAAAATCAAAAATGGGTAAATTAACAGTATTACATATCACAGTAGAGGTGATTGAAAATGATTTTACATATAATAACAAATGTAAAAAAAATTATATATATAAAGATTAAATTAAAAATAGGATTACGTGAAAAAAATTTAATTTAGCAGTCAATAAAATAAAGTTGTGAGAAAATCTTATTCACAAAATGAGCTGATATCATTATGACATATAGCTCAGCAGATCGTGATCAAGTGCTTCGTTATTATTATTTTAACATTTTTTTTTGCGCCGATGGTCATATCAAACGAACATGTTGAAAATCGATGATAATCACACAGGCGACTGAAATCCATATCCTCGAGATTTTAAATTGGATTTCAGGTCAGTTAGCCACTCAAAGTCTTCACAGCTCAAGCAAATTTTTTGTCTCTGTTGCTTCATTTGTCAAACTGCATTTCCAGTTTCTCCGCTAATGCTTAAACTCGCTCAGATTTAATATTATTTTTTAGTGGTCCAAATTTAACTTAATGTGTATGAATACATTTTTAACGATTCGTATTTAACTAAAATAAGTATGCGAATCATTCGTTTCACTTCCTCATGATGTGATCAATTTATTATAAATCAATTAAGGTGATGAGCTAGCTAATGGTAAGTCAACCAATATAAGTAGAGTCTAATGCAATTTTGCTAGCCTATCTCATTCGTTGCCATTCCCACTGTTCTAGGTTTTGAAGACCACGCTAATCTCAAGAATCGAATCTTCCCTATCACCAGGGCATGGGAAGGCCATTAATTGTTCTGCATTGGAGCTTGCATGTCATGTTTTTCTTCAAGAAGTGAGAGATGTCTGTTTTTCCTCTATTCCTTGGTAACATTAACTTACGTACCCTGTAAATTAAGATGGGAAAAAAGTGTACTTTTAATGAATTCTTTTATGCATTTTCGAATTCGAAAATACATAGTTATAATATTAAACTTGTATTTTGTTTACTTTCTGTGTCAACAGATTGCTTCTGAAGAAAGAAAAAAAAAATACAACTTTAATATTATAACTATGCATTTCTAAAAATACATAGTTAAAAATTAAAACTGCTAAAAGAACATAACTTGTATTGTTTAAAAATACACTTAAAAGATTATATAGCTCATTGTGCGGTGCAAATATGGTTTTATTTTTCTTTTCATTCTTTTTCTCACTACTTTCAAGACTTTAGCTGTTTGAGACTTCAAAGTTTAAAAAGTACCTAGTGTTAATCGAGGGAATGAACCAAAAAGAAATTCAACAAAGTGGCCCCATCATGTGAGTTATAATTCGCCCGATATATGTAAAATAGGACATTATTCCAAGAAGAAAACATAGACTTGGTCTATAAGACATGGTCATATGTAAAAATATATAAATAGGAATCACGTGGAGAGCATTTAAGGCAAAGAGAAAGAATAGGAGTTCGGTTGTTATGGATAACTAGAATTTAAATTTCAATCTCTCTCGAAATAGGCGTTCTTTTTTAAAAATCCATAGGCCTTAGTCTCATGCACGTCGGATCAATGACATTAAAATTAATTTAATCAAATAGGTTTATTTATAATTATAATCATGATTATTAGCGATAGTAGAATTGACAAAAAAGCCAACCTATCGAGTTAGCTCGTAACTCATAAAAAATGAGCCTAGTTAGGTTGATAAAAATGAACTGCCAATCCGACCCGAGCCAGCTCGTAAAATAATGAGTCAACCCGCGGATCAAATGAGCCAGCTCCTTTGTTGGGGGTTTTTTTTTATATATAAAAAATATAAAATATAATATATAAAAATGGACAAAATTCACATATGCTGTCATTATTTTTCTTTTCTTTTTTAAACCTAAGTCCCTAATCTTCTCACTCTCACATCATCTTATATTGTTAGGCTGTGCTGGCTTTATTTGGTTCAAATATCTTAGTAGCAAGTGGTTCTGATTGTTTCTTGATGTTGATGCAAATTTGTTATGAAGAAAATTCGAAATTAAAATATTTTGTTTTTCTTTTTCATTTTTTAATCCTTTGTTTAAGTTAATGAAAGCCACGTAGCTGGTGTATTAATACTACATGTCATTTAAATAGACCGAAAACGAGCCAATCCGCTAGCAATTTTCAAGCCAACCCGCGAGCCAATTTTCGAGCCAACTTACAAGTTATTTTTTCAAGCAACTTACTAGCCATATTTTTGAACCAACTCGCGAGCCAACCCTAACCCAACTCGGGTTGGGTTGGGTTAGATTTTCTGACTCGTTTTTTTTTCTAGCCAATCTTAACTCGGCTCGTTTTTTTCGGGTTAAATACGAGTTGAATGGGAATGACCCGTTTTGCCAATCCTCCGTAAATACTGCCTGTAATATAAAGATGAACATTGCGACGTGGCCACGCATGGTTTGCAACGATGCAACAGTTAATTTTGTGTGGCTGCTAATACGAATATACAACTCATCCCTTTTGTTCGTTGAAAATTATTTAGTTATATATAACATGTTGCGTCAATTAAAGATAGTATAGCTTGCGAAACAATTTTAGTTCTGCACCACCGCTCCTCCGTTCATACTGCGCATAGAACTTCTCCACTTTGGGAAGCTTTCTGTCTTCCACTCTGCACCCATGGTTCCATAGTTTTATTTTTACTTTTTAATGTAATTATTATTGAAATTTTTTGAATAGACACATATGAAGGAACTAAATTTGTGGTTATCTTTGTACTAAAAAAAATAAAAAAAATTTGTGGTTATCCATATGTTATTGATGTTGCCGGCCATGACTATTATTAATTAGTAGGATTTTTTCTGAATAATTTTTTTTCTTAATTAATCAACTTAGAGCACTTATAAATCATAAGGTTTATATAATTGCATGTACATAAATAATGCATTCATGGTCCCCAAAATGATAATAATTAGAATATTAATAATAATACATTCAATAAACGACCAGTGGAAAGAATCTCTGCCGACAAATTTTTATTTTCACACGGCTTCCAGAGTCCATGTGCGAATCTTTTCGTGCTTAATCTCTTGATATAATTTAAATTTTGGTCTTCATGGCTTTACTCGTACACGGTTTAACGCTATCGGAATATTAATAATATTGTTAATTAAGGTCCCTATATCATGTCGCGTTGTATAAAATAAAATAAAATAGTTTATTTTATTTTAATTTTTATTCACTATTTATCATTTAAGTTTCTATACTATACAATATTTAATACTTAATGTATAGTTTTATATACTATACAAATTTTATGTCCCTGTTATTTAATTGTTTTATTAAAAAAAATTTGGTTGGAGGATTAGTCTCGTCCTTTCTCCGGTTGCGAAGCTTAGTGCACCCAATGTTACAATAAGGAGCTAACCCAAACGGGTCGTACCCCGAGGGCATGGTGCCCGAAGAAGGTTGAATGAAGATACCTCATGGCAATGTACTAAAAAAAAAGAAAGCAATTCTTTGAATAAATATATCACTTCCCATGAATAAAATAAAAACTACACTATTATATTCAAGAACTTACACTAAATAATTACAAAATATATGTATATATAAATAGAGAGAGAGAGAAAGAAAAGAGTGTGTGTGTGAATTTCCATTAGTGACTATGACTAAAATATCTCATATATTACTGTTTCCGAAAAAAAAAAATCTCATAATACCTACACACTAAATAATTACAGAAAAACAGCAAAAATATGTGCCTTTGAAAGATAAGTTGACAAAAATGATGGTAGCTCAAGTTGGGGAATGAGAACTGAATATGTGTGAGTGAGAACATGTGTTTGATTCTTCTTAGTATCATCTTAATTTGGAGGAGTTTAAAGTTTTAATCCTGAATCCGTCTCGAACAGGATTGCCTCCAAAGAAGAATACCCGTGATTTATCCAAAAAAAATATAAGTTGAGGATGAATAATTGATGGGTTGATAGTGAATAGGGA